TCACACGTGCTAGATGAGCGCTCTACCACTGAGCCACAACTCCAGCCAGAGAAATAAGATTCTTAAACTTAAAATGATCTTTATTTTTTCATACACTTTAATTCTTAAGGAAAGATATGGAGATATTATTGAAATCCATTTATTGAAATTGCAAAAACACCATACCAACCAAAGTACATTTTTATGTAAATATACAGAATGAAGTATAAAAATAATTTGTACCCACCCCTGCCTAGGAGAAACTGCCAATTATTTTGCTTTCCAAAGACTAGGAGGTGGGCTGGRGATGTGGCTCAAGCGGTAGCACGCTCGCCTGGCATGCGTGTGGTCCTGGTTTGATCCTCAGCACCACATACAAACAAAGATGTTGTGTCCGCCGAAAACTAAAAAAAAATAAATAAATAAATAAATATTTTTAAAAAAATTCTCTCCCTCTCTCTCTTTCTTTACAAAAAAAAAAAAAAAAAAAAGACTAGGAGGCACTACTGGAATCTAGTGGGTAGAGGCCTATTATTCCAGTAGATAGATGCTGCTAAATATCCTACAATCAGCAGGGCAGTCTCCTTTGACTTAAGAATTATATGCTCCAAAATGTCAATTGTGTCAAGGCTGAGACACCTTGCAAATCAATGATTCTCAAACTATTCACTGGGTACAGTGGCACACTCCTGTAATCCCAGCTATGAGAGGCTGAGGTAGTAGGATCACAAGCTCAAGACCAGCCTTGGTAACTCAGCAAGACCCTATCAAAAATTCAACATTAAAAAGGGCTGGACTAATTAGAACAAATTATGTATGTTTTTCCTTTTTTCAAAAAGGGCTGGGATATAGCTCAGTAGTAGAGGGCTTGTCTAGCATGCTTGAGGCCCCAGGTCCAAATCCCAGTATCACAAAATCTTGCAATTTAGGAACCCCTAAGATTCCTAAGACTTTTCAAAGGTCAAAACTATTCTCATTATAATGCCAAAAGACTGGTCTTTCAGGAAGCTGGGGCTGTAGCTCAGTGACAGAGCACTTGCCTAGCATGTGGGAAGCACTGGGTTCGATCCTCAGCACCACATAAAAATAAATAAATAAAATAAAAGTAAAAAAAGAAAAAGATTGGTCTTTTCACAGTGTTGACATTTGCACTGGATATGAAATGGGTAAAACAGGGACACCTTGGTATGAATCTAGGCACTGGCAGCAAAATATACTACTAGTCATTATATTCTTCACCATAAAACAATCAGCTTTTTAAAAAAGTAGCAATAGCGCACTGCCTGGCATGCGTAGGGTGCTGGGTTCGATCCTCAGCACCACATAAAAATAAAATAAAGATCTTGTATCCACCAAAAACTAAAAAAAATAAATTTTCAAAATTCTATCTCTCCAAAATCATGGAATTTGCAGGGAAATGGATGGCGTTAGAGCAGATTATGCTAAGTGAAGCTAGCCAATCCTTAAAAAACAAATGCCAAATGTCTTCTTTTATATAAGGAGAGCAACTAAGAACAGAGCAGGGAGGAAAAGCATGAGGAAAAAATTAACATTAAACAGAGAGGAGTGGTGGGAGGGAAAGGGAGAGAGAAGGGAAATTGTATGGAAATGGAAGGAGACCCTCATTGTTACACAAAATTACATATAAGAGGTTGTGAGGGGAAAGGGGGGGAAAAAAACAAGAGAGAGAATTGAACAACAGCAGATGGGATAGAGAGGGAAGATGGGAGGGGAGGGGAGGGGGGATAGTAGGGGACAGGAAAGGTAGCAGAATACAACAGTCACTAATATGGCATTATGTAAAAATGTGGATGTGTAACCGATAGGATTCTGCAATTTGTACTGGGGTAAAAATGGGAGTTCATAACCCACTTGAATCAAAAGATGATATGTCATGAGCTTTGTAATGTTTTGAACAACCAATAAAAAAAATTCTCTCTCTTTAAAAAAATAAATAAATAAAAATAAAAGTTTAAATTAAGAATATCCTTGATGAGGCAGTAAAAATTCTTAATTTTATTACATCTCAACCCTTGAAAACACACTCAACGGTACCTATATGATAGGGAAATCAAATAGGATGCATAAAATGCAGTTGCAAGCTGCATTTGCTAATTTTTTTTCATTGAACACCATTTATTCAAAAAAATATGTTATTCAAACTTGTATATTTTGTAGACTTTTTCTTTAAAATGATAATTCACTTCAAAGAAAGCAATTGATAGTATTTACTGCCAGTGATCAAGTTCAAGCTTTCAAATGATAACAGAACCTTGAAAAACTGGCATCTGTCACTGTAGGCTTGACAGCCTAACTTAAAAGATATTCATGAAGAAATCAATGGTGATACTAATGAATTGATTTTTTTGATATGACTTAATGATATGTGTATTTGGAAGGTTTCATAACTCAGTAAATAGAGATTTCCCAATCAATACATTGTTTCCAAAATCATGCCTGAATAAAAGATCTATTCTAAAATACAACAGACACAAATACAAAAGAGCACAAAAGATTCACTAATATAATTTGATTCTATATTGTAACTAATCTTTATGAAACTATCATTTGTCAAAGTCTGAAATAGTATCAAAGATGTCCACAATTTTTCGCAAAGGCCATTAAATACTCATCTTTTCCAACCATACATCAATATCATTATATGCTTTGGATCACCACAATTTCAAGACTGGGTATCTACTATATACTTTTGGTAGATTTAACAAAATAGTTATGAAATCCAATTTGATTACTGACACATATACAGGAAATACTGTTTATAAAAAATATTTTTAGTTATAGACAGGCAATACCTTTATTTTATTCATTCATTCATTCATTCATTCATTCATTCATTCATTCATTTTGAACTCAGGGCACTTGACCACTGAGCCACATCCCAGCCCTTCATTTATTTATATTTATGTGGTGCTGAAAATCAAACCCAGTACTTCACGGGAGCTAGGGAAGCGCTCTACCACTGGGCTCCAACCCCAGCCCCAGGAAATAGTTTTTTAAGAGAACATTTTGCTAGCATTGATTTGTTTGGCCCACTTTTATCCCACAATAATAGATAAAAGTAAGAACAAATGATAAACAACATAGCCATATCTTTGCCTTCCCTATTTTATACAAATCAAGGAGTGCTAATTGCTCAACCTTTAAAACTTCACTTACTTTCCCCTCCTGATTCAGAAAGAAAAAGGTAATTAATGATTTAGGAAATTATAAATGAAAACATATATTAATTTAAACCAACTGATTAAATTTTCCACAATCTAATAAAAGAACTATAACAACAGAAAACAATAAGGATAAATCTCAAATGTTAGGGGAAAAAAATCTATACAAACTTATCCCATCTGGTTTCAATTATGTCAAGAATATATAGGTAAAACTAATCCATTATGTTAGAAGTCAGGATAGTGTTTACTCTTGGGAGTGCTAATAACCAGAAAGAAGGAAGAGGTAGGTTCTGGGACACAAGTTAAAGTAATTTCTTGTTCTGGGTGCCGCCCACACTAATATGTTCGGGTTTTAAAAACCCACTGAAATGTTCATATACAGTATATGCATTTTTCCACATTGTTACACTACAAAAGTCTTACCAAAAAAAAAAAAAGATTGAAACTAGGTTTAGAATCAGAGATATTGCTGGAGTCCCAAGTCTTCTGAAATCTTGGATAAATCACTTAAAATCTCTGCACTTCAGTATTTCACATAGCACACCACAGGATTTGGCCTAAGAATTCTTATTCAATAAGAACTGTCTACCTTTGTCTTCTAGGTGTTGGGGTTAAAGCAATGAATAAAAGCAAATAAGCTGTGTCTTCATACTGCCCCTATTGTACTCAAGGAATGCAGATACACAAGAGAATAAATAAAATACACAGTATTTTCTATGGTGATAGGTGGAATTAAGCAAGATAAGGGAACTGGGGCACAACTGTAAGGTCAACAAAGTTCTTACTAAAATGATGACATTTAAGCAAAGACCTAAAGTAGGTAGGGAAGGCAATGGGAAGGGGAGCATATTCAAAGTAGAGGGATTATATAATTTATTGCACGTGAAAATACACTTAAGCTAGTTAGTATTAGGTCTGTTTTAAAGTAAGATTCCATTAAGAAGATGGAGCCTTACATCCAAAGCACTGTTTTAATGAAATGAATACTCTCCTTTGGTACAGTTATTTTTCCTCCAATAAATGAAAAAGGTTTCAAACTATAAGGTAATTAAGAGAACTTCGGTGCAAAATAAAAAGGTAAAACTAACAACGTTCTTAAATGTACTTTCTTGTGAATTATTTCCCTGGTGTTACTGAAGGGGGACTGCAAAGCAAGTCCACTCAAGTCTTCCTCCAATGCACCAAAAGGTCTCAGAAAATTCTGGAATTAGTCCTGAAATTCCAGAAAACCAATAGTCTATTTCTTTTCTGGCAGTTGATAAACTCCAATAATTTTACTTTCCCATACAATAAACTTTCATTCTTCTATATTCTATATCCTTAATTGTACATACATTATAATGACAGGAGGAAACATCAGTCATCCTCGCTGAAGAATAGAGGAAAAAACGTCCATAAATGAGGAGAAATCTAGGAGCGGTGGGCAAGAGGCCCTGCCGTCCATCTCTGTGGCTGGCTCCGTCAGACGCAGCCAGGAAGGTCAGCAGTGCCCAGCGCCGGGCAGGGTCACAGACACACGTAGTCTCTCGGGGCGGTACCCACCTTGCACTCAGTCGTGCACTAGAGGCCACCTTCTTTTCGAAAGGTTGTAAGGAGCAAGAGGTACCGACTACTTTCAAGTCTGCAATGGCCCCACGTTTCAACCAACTCAGCGTCCACCCTCTTACCAACCACAGAACCTAGATTCCTACCCTTCTGACTCCTCATGCAGCTTCTCTTCGGCACTTCCGGCGGTGCGTCAACCAAATACCGCCTACCAACAACTTCCGCCCTTCTCGTTTAAAGTGAAGAGAGGCTCGGAACGGTTGCGCCGCGCGTGCTCTTCACTCGGCAGTTTTGAAGGGTAGCTCTTTCCGGTTCCGCACTGCGCGGAGTCGGCTTTTGGGTCTTGGGTACCCGAAGATAGCGAGCTTCTACTCACCCCGGAGACTGCACCCGGGAGCTCTGCGGCTATCATCATGGTAAGAAGTTGTCTCTGGCGCTCGCGGCGTAAGGCATTTGAGTAAGTGGAGCCTCGGAGCCCACGGTAATGGGGCAGGGAGGGAGAAGTGGCAGGCGGAGACGTAATGCTTGCTGCTTTAAGGGAAGAGGGGTAGCCTCCGCGGAGTAAGCTCCAGGGAAAAGAAACTTTACCTTTGAGAAATAGTGAAGTATTGGCCAGAATACGAGTCTTGGAGCGAAATAGATTTCATTCTGTTAAATTCCTGGTTTCAACACATGTGTGGTCACCAATGCCAGGGCCCATTTGGAATGTGGTTGAGCCTTGTGTTAAAACTCCACGGTAGGTATTAATCGCGCCATCCCATTTTGTTGCTGAGGAAACCGATGGGTCCTTGTCAAAGGCTAGATGGCGAATGAACTACGGAGCTGGGTTTAACTGCCAAATCATTTCTCTTTCGACTGCATCTCTGTTTAAAATGAAATTCCTCATCCTTCCCTGTTTATGCAAAGTTTATGTGATAGCAGTTGAAAACAATACTTTCGTTAACTTAAATTTGTTCTCTGAGCTGGAATTGGCTTTGCATCATTATTTTTTCAGTCTTAAAATCCAGATAGACTCTGGCTRTGTGTTTAAAACAACTGTTGTTTAAAATGCAAAATGGAGCCCATATATAACTCTCAAGCAACTTAGGTAAAGCAGTAGACAGACAAGACCAGCATATAACTGTTTATTAAACTATTCCTGATTAGCAAAAATTGTGAACAATTCGAACATCCATCATCTGGTCATTGAATAACAAATGGTGTTTCATTCATAGAATGGAATAGTATTTAGCAATAAAAGAGTTTGAAGAACTGATACAAGGTGAATGAATCCTAAAATTCTTATTCTGATTGAAAGAGGCCAGATTCAGGAATTTCCCCTTTATGTATATGTAGAAAGTACCAATCAAAAATAAATAAAGAAAGGTGTGAAAGGAAGATCAGTAAAGAGAAAGTGGGGAGAGAGGAAAAGAGGGTGAAGAGGGACTGAAATCAAATTCCTTGTATCCATTAGCACTCTGTTCCGGGAAAGGCAAAACCGTAGAAATAGATATCAGATTGGGGGTTAGGAAAGGGGATTGATTTCAAAGTAATACAAAGAGAACTTTTGGGGGTGATGAAAAAAATTCGTTATCTTTATTACAGTGATTACAGAACTGAATAATTGCTCAAAACCTGGAACTGTACACCTACACCTAAAAAGGGCAAGCTTATGGTGTTAATGGACCAAATTTTTAAAATAAAAAGTACAAAATAATGGTAATGTTATTGAATTCACAGATTACCTATGTCAGAGAAAAACCAATAGAAAATCATGTAGTCAGCTCATCTTTCTAGTGGTCCAGTGGGTTTTGGACAGTTCCCTTCAGTGAGCAGTAATTGTCACTGAGATTATTACAGATGTAAATTCTACTTCATATCATCTAAGCTAAATTTATTTAACTTACATCATGTAGATAAACTTAATAATACCAGAGTCACTTACACAAGAACATTTGGATGATATGACATCATGTGTACTTTATGTGCTGTAAAATAATTTTGGAGTAATCTTGTCATTACTTTAAAAAATTAACTTTTCTTGCATACTTATAGCCACAAAATGAATACATTGAATTACACCGTAAACGTTATGGATACCGTTTGGATTACCATGAGAAAAAGAGAAAGAAGGAAAGTCGAGAGGCTCATGAACGTTCAAAGAAGGCAAAAAAAATGATTGGCCTGAAGGCTAAGCTCTACCATAAACAGCGCCATGCTGAGAAAATACAAATGAAAAAGACGTAAGTGAACCCATTTATTTCTTATAACAAGTTAATATTCTTTGGATAATAGTCATTAATCAGATAATTTTGAATATATTTCTTTCTTGATAGTATTAAGATGCATGAAAAGAGAAACACCAAACAAAAGAATGATGAAAAGACTCCACAGGGAGCAGTGCCTGCCTATCTCCTGGACAGAGAAGGACAGACTAGAGCAAAAGTACTTTCCAACATGATTAAACAAAAGCGAAAAGAAAAGGCGGTAAGCAATAAATATTTAAGTCTCTATCTCTTATCTGTTCAGGAGAATTACTTAAATTTGAAGTTCTTAGTTTATTTTTTCAGTTTAATTTGAAACATGAAGGGAAAGTATTATTACCATTATTTAGATGTTAAAAGTCTTTAAAAATTTTGTAAATTTAATTTTATATTTAAAAATTGACTTATCACCGGCTTTTAGATATTAATGATTTTTTAAAATGTATTAGAATGTCATATCTTTCGTGTTAAAAAATTAAACGAATAACAAGTAAATCTAAAATTCAATATTTAATGACTTCCTGTACTTGAATGCTCCTAATGCTATGCTCTTGTAGAGTAAACACAACTACTTTTGGTTTTATTGCTCTGCAGTGCCAGCACAGGTTCAAATGGAAAATATTTAAAATTCCCTAAATAATTTGATTTCAATAAAAATTCAGATTACTTTTGCCATAGAAACATAAAATTCTGTGAAAGGGGGCATAGATATTTTTAAATGTGAAATGTGTTGACAAAAACCCAAAAATATGCAGTATCTGTATTAGAAGAGTTTGTAGTCTCCTGACTTGATTTTTTAAGTCTTACTGCCTTTTTTTTTTTTTTTTTTTTTTTGGATTTGTAAATATCCAAAACTAGAATGGCATGACTTTAACAGTGAAAGAAACTTTAGTGGTTATCTACTTAAAGTCTTTCATTTTATAGATAAAGAAACTGGATTCCAAAAGATGATAAATCATTCTTCATGGTCACTTAACTATAAAATGGTAGAGCTGCTCCTAGAACCTGTCCATGTCTCAGAAATAAGTCCAAAATTCTTTATGCTGCCTTATATTGCTACAGTGTGTGTTATATAATGTTTTATATATCTAGTGTGTGCATGTTAATGTATATGTATGTTTATACACATGCACATGAATTTGTATTCTAAGGAGATATAAAACATCTAGTGAAGGGCTTTTATCTCACTAGAATTGTACAATCTAAATATCCATTTGCAGTAGAAATGCAAAGATACATTAAATGGAAACAGCCTTCCAATTTTACAAACTAGTAGTAATGCATATATGCTCTATAGAAGTCACTTTATTACAGATGGTATTTTTTACCCATAACAGGGCATTAAGATTTTTAGCTTAAAAAAACAATTATTTAACATACCCATGAATACAGACTTAAAAAACAACTGAACCATAGGCGAATGGTTAAGGAAAAAAGTGAATCTACAGCTCTGAACAACTAAAAACACATTTAAGCTATAGTCTTTGACTTACAATACAAATTTTAACTCCGGTGTATCATTAGGGAAAATGGGAAGTCCCCCTTCCCAAGGTTCGTGCCCAGGGRGAAACAGAAGTATTAAAAGTGATTCGAACAGGAAAGAGAAAAAAGAAGGCCTGGAAGAGGATGGTTACTAAAGTCTGCTTTGTTGGAGATGGCTTTACAAGAAAACCACCTAAATATGAAAGATTCATAAGGCCAATGGTAAGTCCTTTGCAAGGGTGTAGTCACCTAAATATTAGTCCTTGTTAAACTGGATAAAGTTTATTACAACTTCCTGAAATTCCTAAAATTTGTTTGAAAAACAGGTTAAAAAATGTTTTTAATGCTATTTTTGTTACTCTGAGAGTGATTACTTAGCACTTTTTCCACTATAATCAAGAATCTTGTCTTTAACTTCATAAATGGAGATTTCAAGTGAAAAAGAATTTTCATAATAGACATCTTTATCGAATTCCTTGAAACATGATATATTAGAACTTTCTCTATCCACACAGTTACACTCTACTCATTCAATAAGTGATTATTATATGTCTGACACTGCTAGGCCTCAAACACGTCTTTAAGATCAGTTAGAAAATTTGAGGACAGTTTTGAGTCACTTCTGGTTTAGTCAGGGAAATATAATAATGCTTTTGAAAGCATTCAGTATGTAATCATTATAAAAAGAGAAGAGGACTAGGGGTGAGGCTCAGTGGTAGAGCACTTGCTAACATGTTCCCCAGCACTGCAAAAAGAGACCAAAAAAAAAAAAAAAAAAATACATTGTTCTTGGCATCCCCAGCACCACGAAGTAAAATTTGATTTAATTTTTATTAGCTAATATTTTTTACTTCTTTTTTTCCCTCCCTCTTCAGGGAAATATGTCCAAGTTACCAATAATCCTGAAAGTGATGGATGCATAAATGCTGTCTTACTGGTTTTACAACAGTATTACACTCCTTAAAATTATTATAAGACTACAAATCAATCAAGACTACAAACTACGACTACCATTAGTCGTAGTTTCTGAATACTGCCATATAATATAGCTATAAAAGTAGCTTTATTATGATGTCAATGATGTTAATATGCCCCCAAACTAATCATCATCTGCCCACCCCTGCTTCAGGAAAAATATAATTGAATATATTTTTGTAAAATGCCTTGAAAACCAGCCTGCTTAAAACAAGGAATCAGAAAGCTAGTATTAATTCTTGCTCAGGGTGATTGTTTAATGGATTAAGTAAAATACTGGCAGTCTGTTTATATAAATTCTTACTGGGGTTTTTTTGTTTTGTGGTGCTGGGGATTAAACCCAAGGCCTTGTGCATGCAAGGCAAGCATTCTACCAACTGAGCTATATCCCCAGCCCTAAACTAAGTCTTTTTTTTTTTTTTAAAGGGAGAGTGAGAGAGGGGGACACAGAGAGAGAGAGAATTTTAATATTTATTTATTTTTTCTTAGTTCTCGGCAGACACTACATCTTTGTATGTGGTGCTGAGGATCGAACCTGGGCTGCACGCAAGCCAGGCGAGAGCCCTACCGCTTGAGCCACATCCCCAGCCCCTAAACTAAGTCTTAATGGAACATAGTCACGCCTGTTTGTGTATACATTGCATACCCACCCTACCCTTGAAGAGTTGCAAGAAACTATATGACTTGAAAAGCCTAAAATGTTTACTGTTACTTTATTCATCTACTTTTGGATTGTTTCATCAACTACCCTTGTTTTCAATTTCATATTCAAAATTTTCTGAATGTTTTGGCAACATGAGWTCAATAGGGAGACACTATATTAGTCAGGCTATTCTTATATTTAAAGAATCTATTACTAAGAACCTGATTTAATATCATCCCTTCCCACCATATAGGTAAAAATAAAGTATGGTGACATAAGTACTACACTCCAAAAGATCCTATCTAGATGGCTGGGTGGTTCCATATTTGTAACAAAGCCTCTCTGGGTGCTCTCCACTCTTGTAACTGTTATCATTGAAGAAAACTGACAGTCCACCCCTTTTTGTATCATGCATGGTAGCTAAAGTATAAGGAGACTTAGAATTGGGACATTTACATTTGATTGATTTCATTTATCTCCCTTTCCATCATTTGATCAGGTTTCTTTTTTTTTTGTACTGGGATTGAACTCAGGGGCACTCAACCACTGAACCACATCCCCAGCCCTTTTAGTATTTTATTTAGAGACAGAGTCTCACTGAGTTGCTTAGTGCCTTGCTTTTGCTGAGGCTAGCTTTGAACTCAGGATCCTCCTGTCTCAGCCTCCTGAGCCACTGGGATTACAGGCCTCCACCACCACACCCAGCTCATTTAATCAGGAAACAGTCATTAAGACTGCTGACCCTTGTTTCATCATTTAACAGAAAGAAAGGAGGGGCATATGGTAAGGTTATCATGTATCATCAGCTCTAGCATTGTACTTGGCATGTACCAAATTTTCAATAAGTGCAGATGACTAGACAAAGTCAAAATAGGAGTATTTTTCTAGGAAACTGTTACATAGTAAAAACTTTGCAGGAGTATATATGTAGGATTTTTCTTCACATTTATCCTGTTAATTTTTTAGTCATTAGAAATAATAGTATTTTATTTGAAAGGTTGAAAGATTTGACATTTATTGAACCAATGATTAATTTATTTATTTTAATTAGTTATATATGACAGCAGAATGCATTTTGATTCATTGCACACAATTGCAGCAAAACTTTATCTTTCTATGATTGTACATGATGTAGCATCACACCGTATGTGCAGTTATACATATACCTAGGGTAATGATGTCCATCTCGTTCTGCCATCTTTTCTTCCCCTTTGCTTGAACCAATGATTCTTTGATGGTGCAAAAGATAAGTTAAAAAGGACTACTCATCATTAACATTTTGGACTCATAGCTTATGTTTGCTTACTAGGGCTTACGTTTCAAGAAGGCCCATGTAACACATCCTGAACTGAAAGCCACCTTTTGCCTACCAATACTTGGTGTGAAAAAGAATCCATCATCCCCACTGTATACAACTTTGGGTGTTATTACCAAAGGTACAGTCATTGAGGTGAATGTCAGCGAGTTGGGCCTTGTAACACAAGGAGGCAAAGTGATTTGGGGTAAGTCAATTTTTGAATATGGAGCTATTGGTGTTCTACAGTCCTAATAGAAATACATTTCAAGTTGATAGTACACAAGCACACATTTTTAATGTGGAAGAGCTATGTGAGCTAAAACTTTTATCTTTAGGAACACTACTTTATAGAGCCAGTTATGCTACACTTTTTTAAAATTGAGCTTATTGGTTTCATTTAAATAAGGGGTAATTTGTCATGCAGCAATTTTAAACTCTTTTTAGTGCTTAATGTTCTTTAAAAGGGAAGAATATACCTGAAATTCTTGTAATTGGTTCATAATTCATGTTGGCAACTGATCTCAACATGGTGCATTTTTAAGGAAGAGTCAGAAAAGTAAAGGCATATTAATGCAATGAACTAATAGAGCCAATTACTATTTATAAATAAATAAATAGATGGATGATAGATGGATGGATGAATGAAATATCCATTGACAACTAAAAAAATATTTTAAGAAAATTATACTCAGAACACAACTTGGTCTTGAATGACTTAAAAATCTTATTCTATTCATATTTAATAAAAATGGCTATTAGATGTATTTTAGGAATATTATAATTAAGAGCTTAATTTTATATTTTTTAAATTTCGGGGCTAGGATATAACTCGGTGTTAGAGAAATTGCCCAGCATATACAAGGCCCTGGGTTTGATCCCCAGCACCACAAAGTGAAATTATATTTAATTTTTATTAGCTAACATTTCTCACATCTTTTTTTTTTCTCCCCATCAGGGAAATATGCCCAGGTTACCAATAATCCTGAAAATGACGGATGCATAAATGCGGTCTTACTCGTTTGACAACAGTTTTACACTCCTTGGAATTATTATAAGACTACAAATCAATCAGGAAAACCACCATTACTGTACAGTGATGGTTCTGAATACTACCAAACAGCCTTACGTATCTGCAGTCATTAAGAGAACTATATATTAAACTATTTTTTAAAAAAAATTAAAATGAGGGAGTTTGCAGGTTGTTCTTTATTTGGGGGTTTATGTTAAGGGTTTACATGTTTTTAAGATTCAACAATTGAAAAAGCAAACCCATAAATACCAGTATCTGCATTAAAGAGTGGATATTCAACAATGCAGATCTGTCACTTCTGAAAAAACCACCAGTATAACTGAAAAAATATCTAAGAGAAAAGCAGGCTATACAATGTAGAAAAAAATCAGACCTCTTAGATACATCTTTTCATCAGTGATCTTGTTCAGTAAGTAAATTAATGTACTTTTTTATGTTAGCATTTTCTATATTCTATATATATACTTGTGCTTTCAGAATGGTACTAAAAATTTTGGATAATTCCACTTAGTTTTCATTAATGCCCTAAAGAGAAAATTATTTGTAATTAATTGGTTAATGTAAATAAAAAGGTCATGTTTTAGGGTTCTAATTCAATTCCGTGGTTTGAATTACATGGTCATGACTCTAAGCTTTAGGGTATCTATATACTACATTAATCACCACAACATTTTAAATTCTATTTTATTTTTAAGTCTGCAAAGTACAGCCAATAGTGATTATTTCTTTAACAAAATAACTGAATATCTAACAAATTCAGTATCTAAACACATTTTCATGAATGAAAGTAGGGTAAAGTGAAAGAATTTTAAAACAGACCAGAAAACAATCACAAAAATATATTAATAACTATTTTCAAACCTTTAAAAAAAAAAACAAGTATTCTGTAAGACTTGCTATTCTGAATAATGTTTCATTTTTCCTAAGTTCTATAAACATAATCGAAGTTCTAGAACACATAGGAAAAGGAAGGCTAGTTCCATGTAAATGATGTTTCAGTACAATAGAATCATTTGACAGAAGCTGAACCCTTATTAAATTAGAATTTAACAAATGATTTTGCCACTAATAAAAATGGGTAATGTGTGAATTAAGTTCTAGAAGTGGGAAAAAATTAACTTTAGGTAATAACTGAATACTACAGAAAGGACATTTGCTCAATTTTTAGACCCAAATTAAAGAAACAAATTATCTTGTGAAAAGGAGGTTTGACACTCAGTATGAAAACAAGCATAACATTTGTAATAAATCACCTGTGAAAAGACTGGATCACACCTGAAACACCATGTTGCTACTAGTGGACATACAAGGCAGAAATTTGTTTCTAAAATATTGTTACACAGATGAGTAGTGTCAGTATAAATTCTTTATTTACATTAAAATCTTGCAGTTTGCTGGTGTGACCTAACCTTAGAAGATAACCCCCAAGGATAAAGTGGAACATAAGAGCAGATAATTTAGATATTAGGTAAAGACTCAATCATAAACCTTCAAGACACTTTATAAAGTCACTAAAACCATTTTAAATAGTGATACAGTAATCTGCTAAAAGCAAACCATTAATAACTAGATGTTATCTTTACCATCTCTGAGCTGTATGGAAACACCATGAATATAAACACATTTTAAGTCATGCTGTTTGATTTTATAAAAAAATCGTAATAGAGCCTCTCACCTTTAAAAGTTGTAGAGGAGCTTTGTTAATTTTTAAATATACTAATTTCTGTGAGGTCTAGCAATTGAATTTATACTTGAAAGAACTAAAATTTTGCTAATAACCATCTGCTTTATATTACACAAGGAAATATATACGTATATACACAAAAGTCAATTCCTTTCTTGGCAGACATCTGAATAGAAAATAGCAGTTCACAAAGGACTATGTAGAATGTGACTGAACACTCAACAACTAGACTAGCTGGTTGAAATCACATTACAGTCTACTGTAATTCTGAAAGTTTTTCTAATGTGTTGCAAAAACTACAAGTATCTGATTAAGTTTATTTAGAATCTCTATTCAGGATAAATTGTTATAAACTGTATATATCAACATAAATTACTAAACAAGAAAAGTTAGGTTTCTCCATGTGATCTAACTTTTTGCTCTATGATCTATAACCCAAAAATAACATTTTCTAACTATCATAGATATAATAACATTTTCTCATGTGCTGAGCAAAGATTTGAACAAGTGTTAAGTTTACACTGTTAGTCCCCAGTGATCATACATGAATAAGAGACTTCACACACCAAGAGTTGTGAGTACAATCTTCTTTTAAAACTATACCAGTTTTAAAGAAAGTAAAGACAGCAATGAGCAAAAAAAAATTAGTAAATCAGTAAATTATCTAAAAGTTTAAGTCTATTTTAAGAAATGAAAGATGGAAACTATGAATTTTCTGGATCTTAACAGGATCTAAGTTACCTTCCTACTTATGATATTAACAAGTTTCTTAAACTGTAAAATAGCATGAATATTGGATAGGTTCACTAGCATTAGTCACACTTATATGCTGAGAAAACAAATGACCAAAGTACTTTCATTTTCACTTACAATAAAATTATCTAATTTCCTTTGACCAATAATTAAAGAAAATAGAGAACACAAGTGTTCAAGATCTTATGTGAATAGGAAGGGCTTACTGTTTTGCCTGCTTAAGAATTTAACTAATTGATCTAAAATATCAATATTCCAAAATAAAATTTAATGACATGACATCATCAGACCACCTGATTAAGACTATTCTGAATAAACTTTCAACATAAATCCATAGCACCTCAAATCATGACAGAAAGTCATAACATGTTTCACACAGGAATCAACAAACTCTCAAGAACAAACTGAAAGGATCTCAAAACATTCTCAACATAAAGTGCAAATTGAAGTTCACATAATACTTTCAAAGAGTGGGATCTATTTTGAGATTCTCTTTCAATTCTAAGAGTAACTATTTTGTTTATTTTAAAACAAATTGCCATACAAAAACTTAAGTTTAGGGATTTTTTTTCCCTCCAAATTTTTTTAAGCAAATAAATGACTTTGCTGTGGCACCACAAAGTACATACAGAAGCTATCTTGCAACCAATACTCAGAACAAATCTAAAAGTGAGCAAGACCAAAGGGACAACTGAACCCTTCAATTTGATTTAAACTATTGTACCTACAGCTCCCAAGGCAGCTTTTCTTCTGCCATCTAGGCCTGAGATTGTGGGTACAATTCCAATTCTACACAAAAATGGATACCAAGGGCATAAACTGACAGGCAGGCAGATCTTTTGACTGAAGAATCACAATGAGAGGACCAGATGAAAGCTGATGGAAAAATAGGGTAACTGAATTAAGGATAAAGCTCAGAAAAGGATCTTCTGAAGTATAGCTATTAATTGGGTAGGAACAAACGTATAGTTTTTGGTCATTTATCTTAGATTAAGCCTAGATAGGGGCTGGGGTTTTGGCTCAGCGATAGAGCACTCACCTAGCACGTGCGAGGCCCTGGGTTCGGTCCTCAGCACCACATAAAAATGATATTGTGTCCATCTACAACTAAAAAATAAAGACTAGATGGCCCAAATTAAACTGTATCCCTAAATTCTATAGTTAGGATGTTTCCCTGATTAAAGGTAATACAAAAATTACAACAAACTACTACTTCAAATGGAATTTTAAAAATTTCCCCACATGCTAGTTAAATCCCTAGCAATTCTATTACTATCAGAGTCAAAAGTATAATTTGTATGTAGCTTTCTGCAAACATTGAAGTCAAAGGAAGAAACTGCATCCCAACTAAGATTAAAAGGACAGAACCAAAATATCTTGATAAACCTGTGACATAAGTTTCTATTTCTGGGCTGTAATTTACTTAAGGTTTTACTTACTCTAATTTACTGCCATTTTGTTTAGGTGTGCCAACTTTTTAAAAAATGGGAATTAGTTTTGATATCCAAGATAAAACTTCTAGACCCTTCACCAAGTTTTACTATTAAAACCCTTAGTATAAAAGATTTCTGTGATCCTTACAAGTAATGGAAAGCCGACTATTCACTTTTTAAATTTATATTTTTTGAAATATTTATGGTCAAGTATCCCACCTGCTAAAGAAAAATATAATATGATCTGGTTTCCCAAAATTGAAATATGGTTAATAAAAATAAAAAATTCTATTTACACAAAATATTCTGAAAAATTAAAAAGAATGTTGAACCACAGGTCCTAAAGGGAGAGAAAAACTGCATCATAAATTCCAGTTCAAATTGAAATTTTAGAAATTTTTGTCCTGTGCCCCATGCTGTTTATTAATCACTGTTTTAAAAACAACAATTATGTTACAAAGAGGATTTATCATACACATTTCTTCTTCATTCAGGTCAGCTTGGCTTTCTTCTTACCAGGTCCTTTATGCCCTTTGGCCTTTCTTCTTAAATTCCGCCTATCTACTACAGGCACTTCCACTTCTATCTCCTCTGAGCTGCTATCCACAGCTTTTTCTGCTGATTGTGTAAACTGATCCAGTTGCTCAGAAGATGCTTCAGACTGCTCCTCTGACTGGTTCTTCTGTCCTGCATTCTGTGAAAATGGCACATCCTCAAGTTCAACCTCTATCAAAGAACTCTGAGAAAGAGCAGTAGATGTTTCCTGGGACTCAGGCACCCCCTCCTCACCCTGATCTTCAAGTGAGGAAGTAGTGTTGGGTGATAAATTCTCAGATACCGGTTCTTCAGAAAATTCAGCTATCACGGAGTTTGGAAAACCACTGTCAGATCGGTCTTCATTTGAGATACTGTCAACCTTGTCTGAACTTCCAAAATGTGCTTTCTTTCTTGAAACTGGAGACAGTTTCTCTTCGGTGTGCCCTTTGTCATCAGATGGGCCTTGGTCTATCAACATTTCTGTATCAGTTATATGTGGAGTCTGAAAACACAAAATTTGGTTTTTGTGTTTTGTAATATAGTTCAATATAGTTGCAAATCTTTTGCAATATAGTTCTAAAATGAGTTATTTTCACATTAATCTGTAATGAACTACAACTTAAAAGAATTCAGTATACATTATTTTTGTTAATCATCTGCATATTCCAAATACAATTTATTCAAAAATTGTTTCATAGTAATTTTAATACACTATTAGATATAATAATTATTTTACCTCAAAGAGTATTTAGGACTTTTAAAAGTTTTTTTAATATCTTTATTTTTATTCAGCAATTAGGTTGACAGACTAGTAAATCAGTGTAATATAATATTTTAGCCTTAAGTTAGAATATTTAAAAGTAAAAGAAATTTCTTTTCAAATACTACACCATGGTTTTTTTCCCACTAATCTATTCTGCCTCATTAATTAAAATTATATTGGTCATAGACTATGAAAGCAGGTGGGATACTTGACATTTGGTAAATCATGTTTATCCACTTTTCTAAGCATTCCCTAAGTAAATAAAGTAAAAATTCATTTCATTATCATAAAGCAGATATGCCTTTTGGGCCGGGGGCAGTTGCTAGGGATTGAAATCAGAAGGCAGATACTGTACAAGTTAAGCTGGAGGAAAATATAGTATGCAATCCCCTCTATCCTCAATGGTATTTACAATAGCACACTTTAAATGATTTAAACAAAAAAAAATGGGGTTATTTCTGTCTTACCTTATCTGGTGCAACAGCCTCAGGAGGTTTTGAGGATTCTACAACCAGTGGAACGAGATTTACAGTGTCTTCACTGGAATTACAAGACTGTGCTTTTAATTCTTCTTCTAAACCTTCACTAATGGAGTCCTCTTCTTCTGTTGTAAGTGAAGTCTTAAGAGTATCATCCATTATCTCACCATTCATAGGCTCTAATTCAGAGTCCTACAGTAGGAGGGAAAAGCAGAGACCTTATAACAAACTTTTTGGTATGCAACATTCATCCCTTCTCAGTTCCTATCATCCTTCAGGACTCAATGATGGAGTTAAAATATTATATGGTATCAGAACTATTATTTGACCCTCTTTCAGTAATAGTCTTACTGGAGGAAAAGGGAAACTAATGAGGAAAGGTCAATAAAGAACCCATAAATAGCTCATACTCCCAGTGATCTAATGGAGATGGGGCAGGAGTATGGGTCTAAAATTTGGTGAAAAGACCCTGAACTTTCCTGCCCTTCTTTCTTGCCTGACAATCATGAGAGGAACTTTTTCAGTAAAAAGGCACCAGAGGGAGCCTAGACTTTTTAAGGTTCATCACCTGGAATCTTTGGGACCTGTTGGAAATTATTTTATCTTGCCAGTGAAAGTCTCCTGGAAAGTGGAGTTTGGGTGCTGCTTCTTACTGGGGAAAAAAAGAGAACCCCATTCTCAGCTCATTGTTAGTCAACCCAGGATCATTTCTGAACAATCTGGCTCCTTGCATCACATTAAAATATGGGAAGGTGATCTGATAATACAAATCCTCCAATTTCTGAAATTCTTCTTCCAGTGTTTATCAGTTTATTTCTATTTAATGATAAATATTTCAAATTAATTCTAGTGACAAGTCTAATAATTAGAAGAAATTTTATTACCATATTAAAAATTAGAAAACAAATACATTTGAGTATTCAGAAATAGAATACAAGATTTCTGAAAGCATATTAAGGAAAGTTCTCTAAAGAGAAGTTGAAATCAGAGACTTATCTTTTCTATAAAAATTTTTTTTCTAAGACTGAAGTTACAGCTCAGTGGCAGAGTGCTTGCCTAGCAGGTATGAGGCACTGGGTTCACTCTTCAGCACCACATATAGATAAATAAAAATAAAGGTCCATTGACAACTAAAAAAATATTTTAAAAAATTTTTTTTCTAAAGTTTTCTTTTCTTTCTTTTTACTACCAGGTAACAGGGATTTAACAGGGGCACTTAAACACTAAGCCACATCCCCAGCCCGTTTTTTCAAATATTTATTTAGAGACAGAGTCTCACTGAGTTTATTAGGGCCTCGATAAATTGCTGAGGCTGGCTGTGAACTCATGATCCTTCTGCCTCAGCCTCCTGAGCAGCTGGGATTATATAGGCAGGCAACACCGTGACCAGCTTAAAGTGAAAGTTTTTCTATAATTAATATATATTTTATTATTATACCAGGTGGTACACAGAATCAGATGCACACATAAGGTAATTACAATAAACTAATAAAAGGACCAACCAGAGTGGGAGAATGTTAAAAGGAAGAAAATTAGATAAATCAAATGCTTAAAAAAAATAAACTGTGGTAACTGAAAGTGAGAAATGAAAAGGCCAGTCCATTAAGTTTTAAGTTTGAAAACAGAATGAAAGATAAAAATGAGGAAAACCAGGTTCAATACAGAAATAATAATTAAAAAAAAAAAAAAAAAAAAAAAAGGACTAGAGCTTGGTGCAGTGGCACATACCCATAAGCCAAGCTACACGGGGCGAAAGCAGGATAGCAAATTGGAGCCAGCCTCAGCAATTTACTGAGGACCTGAACAACTTAAAAGATACCCTGTCTCAAAATAAAAAATAAAAAGGGCTGGGATGTAGCTCAGTAGTAAAGCACCTCTGGGCAAAACCTCTAATATCCCCTCCTACAAAAAAAAAAAAAGAAAAAAAAAAGAGAGAGAGAGATTTGAGTTTAATTTGACAGAAGATATCTGTCTAAATAAAAATATTCAGTAGGCAAGTGGCATTATGGGACCAGAATCTGAATAAATATTAAAAATATAGAGTTACTGACCATCCCCATAGAGATAACAGTTTAAGTCATTAGATTGAATGTACTTTCAAAAGAGAGACCATGAACCATAAAGTTTTCTAAATCTTTCTGAGTTTTCTAGAATGTCCATAATAAGGACCAAAGTAAAAAGGAGTCATTCATACATACATACACACATACATACTAACTACAAAAAAAAACTGCAGAGATTAAAAAAAAAAATGAGTGTTATAAAGACAGGGAACCAGAGAACTTCTAGGTGGGGAAAGTAGTTAATCCAGGTAAGGGAAGCCATCTGCATTAAAAAGGAAGTTGTCACTGATGACAATGTCTTGCTGAGTGAATGAAGCAGGTTATATGAGGTACAGTAGATTGTAGATACAACAGTTTATTCTAGAGTTTAAAGGAGGAGAAGAAAACAAAATATCTATTTCTATCATCATTTAGATGCATACAAATCTTGGGTTTTTCAAAAGTGCTTTTCTTTATTTTTCCATATTATTTTTATTTATTTTCTCAATTTCATATAATAAAAATGCTATTTAAAAATAGTTTTGAAAATAAATAAATGAACAAAATACAGTTTTATGAAGAAGTAGTAGCTAAATTGGTGTGTCTTAAAAAAATAAAATAAGGCTGGGGATGTGGCTCAAGCGGTAGCGTGCTCGCCTGGCATGCGTGCAGCCTGGGTTTGATCCTCAGCACCACATACAAAGATGTTGTGTCCGCCAAAAACTAAAAAAATAAACAAATAAATAAATATTTAAAATTTCTCTCTCTCTTTAAAAAAAAATAAGAGTTATAGGTAGATGCAATATCTTAAAAAAATAAAATAAAATCAGTTATGTAGTTATTCACCTGATATACGGATTTGGAAAACAATTTAAAAGATTTTTTTTGAGAAACTCCAATATATATGAAATAAGAAATCTAGAGGAAAGGATTGAAGCTATTGGAAAAAGAAGAGAACAGAAACAGGAGGAAAAAAGAGGATAAGAATATTTGAAGAACAACAGAAATCAAGCAGATAAATAGTTAAACTAGTTATAAAGGCTTTGYCTGTTTTCTCCAGTTTTGGGGGGGGAAAGGTTATTTTTATAGGAATCTGTAAGATCAATCATGGTTAAATATTTTTTTTTATTTTGGATAACTGATTCCTATACTTCTATCCAAAATAGGGATGCAACTAAGAGCATTTTGGACCTAAAAGCATTCTAACTGGTCTGTAAGGTCACATCAATTGTGTACTTCTTCAGTGTATTTAATTCCACAAATCAATTTACATATTATTATCTATTTATTTATTGTAGTACTGAGGATTGAGCCCACAGGCATTCTACCACTGAGCTACATCCCAAGCCCTTCCTTCCTTTCTTTGAAGTACACTGAAGCATCTTAGTACTTGATTATTCCTACATATGTGATACAACTCAAATTTCTATTAACTCAGCTTGAAATAAATTACTCTTGTAACTTTATTCTCTCTCCCAAGTGTAGCACCTGGGTGCCCTTATTTATTATCTGCTTCTTAACACTAACCGTAACTTATTTAAAATATATCATTATATTATTCTACCAATACATGATTAAGAAAATCTTACTTTACGTTCATTCATCTTATTTCACAAGTGACCTCATACCTTTTCACCATCTTGCTTTTCTATTCGTAGCTGGGTTTCAGGTGCAGGACGCGTATCTTTATCATGACTTTCATCCTCAAATTCACTCACTCTCTGCTCAGGTTCTTCTTCCAGGAATTCTTCTGAGCTCTCGGAGGGGCGTGTAGTAGACTCTAATCTAGAACACAAAAGAAAACCATTCTTCCTTGTTCTCTTAAGGATCAGTATAAAATTTCAGGAATCTGCTGGGCATGGTGGTGCATGCCTCTAATCCCAGCAGCTTGGGAGGCTGAGACAGGAAGATCACGAGTTCAAAGCCAGCCTCAGCAACGGGAGGCACTAAGCAACTCAGTGAGACCCTGTCTCTAAATAAAATACAAAATAGGGCTGTGGATATGGCTCAGTGGGTGCGTACCCCTGAGTTCAATCCCTAGTACCGCCCCCTCTCCCAAAAAACTTCAGGAATCCTTTCTCTTTTTTGGTGTGTGGGGCGGGGAGATACTGCGGATTGAACTCAGGGGCACTCAACCACTGAGCCACATCCTCAGTCTTATTTTGTATTTTATTTAGAAACAGGGTCTCTTGTGTTGCTTAGTGCCTCGCAGTTGCTGAAGCTGGCTTTGCCATTGCTAAAGCTGGCTTTGAACTCCTGATCCTCCTGTCCCAGCCTCCTGAGCCACTGGGACCCCCAGGAATCCTTTCTTAACAAAGTAACATTTCAGAAATTCAAACAGTATCCTCCAACCAACAAATGGAAAAACYTGCAGGGAGAAAACTAATCTCTTCATTTTCTCATAAATTTGTTCTCTTTCCCACATTATTGTTCTTCTCAATCATGTGAATTAGACCTATTTTTTATTCTACCTGTATATTATCAGCTCTTCCTTCTATTAGAATGAACATGTATCCCAAGTTTATCTGCACAGTCCAAAATTATGGATACTGGCATTATTATTATATATTTTTGTGGTGATGGGGATCTAACCCAGAGCCTCCTGCATGCTTAACAAATGCTCCACTGACCAACAACCCAAGCCCAATTATTAATAACATCCCTGTCATACTCAAACATATCAGCATGGATAAAAAGTTATAATGGTTTAATACTAACTCCAAAATGATTTTCCAGAATATCACTTTCTATTGCCATTTTCAAGGCTCTGCTTCAATCCCCAATTCTCTGTTGATCACTGTAACTTCTCAACTCAACTTTGGACCTGCAGCATTCTTCATCAAAGCTCTCATAGTTGTCTTTCTAATATACCTATTTTTACTTGTGACAGACCAGGTTAGAAAACTTGAAGCGTAGCTGGACTTGGGGACACAGGCCTGTAATCCTGGCAGTTTGGGAGGCTGAGGCAGGAGGATCTTGAGTTCAAAGCCACTCTCAGCAAATCAGCAAGACCCTATCTCTAAATAAAATATTTTAAAAAGGGCTGGGGATATGATTCAGTGGTTAAGTGACCCAGGGTTCAATCTCTATTACAAAAAAAAAGAAAAAGGGAAAGCAAAACTTGGAGGACTCTTTACAAGCTCTTTGAATAAAGTGTATCCCCTCCTCTCAAGGCCTAAGGTTACCAGAGCATTATTTTTTATTTCCTACTAAACAGATGCTATCATTCACCTTATGTATCAGTTATCCTACTCAACAGTGCTCCTAATTTTGTGCATTTAGTCTGGATCTGTACTAGTACAGTAGCCTAAGACAAGTCACTATTTTTAAATTTAAATTAATTAATATTAAATGAAATTTAAAAATCCAATTCTTCAGTTGCACTAACCACACTTCGTGGTACACTACCTAGAGAATATCACCACCCGTTGCAGAAAGTTCTATTGGACAGCACTGGTCTGTATCAGGGGATCAGTAACTTTTCCCTTAATCTTTGTGAGCCATATGGTCTCTGTTCCAATTTCTCAGCTCTGCAATCGTAATCCAAAAAACAATCAAAATAAAAGACGCATAAACCTAATGAGCATGGATATCTTACAATAAAAAATTTACAAAAACACAATAGGACAAAAACAGGTGGCAGAGCTGGGGGGTATAACTTAGCAGTAAAGCACTTGCCTAGCATGTGCAAAGTCCTGGGTTTGATTCCCAGCAATGAAAGAAAATTACAGTAGTTTAAAAATAAATAAATAATTAAAAATTAAAAATCCAGTGGCAATTTGGCTTGCAGATCATGGTTGGTGAACTTTTAGATTAGAAAGTCTTCTTTCCCAACTTTGCTGATTGACTTTTTATCTTTGAAACCCTCACTTCAAACACCAAATCTCTTCATTCCCTCAACTGAACATACTCCCTTTTTTCTCTGCATCCCCTGCGTTCTTCAGTTTTATTATTGCTCTATCACAATCCAGCCTGTAGTGCTCCTAGCTATGTACATGTCTGTCTTTACCAAGAGGCAGTAAATTCTTCAAGGGCAAACATGATGTTGTACTCCTCACTATGCCTAAAGTAGCATCTGAGTGTTTATTCTTACTGTTATTGTTCTGTTTATGAAAAGCAAACAAATTACACAATAATTGATATTCAATTTAAAATGCACTATTATATTCCCTTCTAAAAGGGTACTACATCAAAACACTGCTCAGTGACAAAACACTGGGGTTGTCTAAAGTCTTATTCTTTTCACTAATTACTAGATTTAAATATTGCTTTTAACATTGTAGATTTCCTTACTAAAATAACACCTTTAAATACTTAATTACGAAAATTTCCAATTCTTTACATAATGAAATTAACACAACTACAGAATCCTCTATCTAACAAAACAATCTGACAGCAAAAAGAACAAAGCTATGAAATAACTAAATGGTTGACTCCAGAATGGTTGATAGATCTATTCAACCTGAAGTCTAATTTTATTATAAAATTTAAAATCTTATTAAGACACAAGGAAAGCAGAGAATAGCATTTCCACCAAAGTGTTCTGTTGATTCAGTTGACTACTAAGTTTGTGAAGAACTGACTGCATTATTTATGGTTATCACTTAGAAATTATATCCAATAGCCCAATAAAATGGATGAATTATAAAGTAAAATTAAGGGGCTTTAGCCAGGCATGCCTGTAATCCCAGTAGCTCAGGAGTCTGAGACAGGAGGATCATGAGTTCAAAGCTAGCCTCAGCAACTGTGAGGCACTAAGCAACTCAGTGAGACCCTGTCTCTAAATAAAAACACAAAATAAGGCTGGGGATGTGGTTCAGTGGTTGAGTGCCCTTGAGTTCAACACTTAGTACCCTCCGCACCCCCACCCCCTGAAAAAAGAAAATTGAGGGTTTTTAAAAGTTGACTAAGCTTCAGTCATTACTAAAAACTACACCACTGAATTCAAAATGGTGATAATGACAGCTGGGATAATATAATGATTAAAATATTCTTTATTTTCATACATGAAAGATTATTCAATAGAGTTTATTCTCTGTTACTATCACACTGTCAAGGAAACACCTCTGGGAAGCATAATCAATAATCCTGTAGAAGAATCCAAAGATAAACTCCCACACCAAAGGCATTTGCTCACAATGAAATAGTCCCCACCTGAAGTAAAAGGAAAAAATAAAATAATAATAATGGAAGTAAAATAAACAGTTCTTTACTTATTTACTGAAGCTGTCAGTGAGGTCTGGGCAGTTTTTTCATCTTCCCCTTGAGAACCACTAAAGTCAGAATCCTGAAACCGCTTTCCAATCTTTGGCCGCTTTAGATGACTGCTTCGAGTACGAGTAGAAACAGGTGTTTTTTCATGACCTGAGTTAAAAATAGGAAAACTGTACTCAACTGGGGCTGTGCAGAAGGATTATCTATTAAAATACACAAAAGTTTAAGAACTATGATAGTTTACATACATCCCCACTGCTGCACAAGTTTACCCTTTCCTAACAAAGCTAAGAAAACAAGGTGTTTTTATCTAAAATAACTTAGTGAATATTTATTCTTCACATTTTCACATTACCCTCACTTTTGAAAGCAATTTTTGCATATTCTCTTACATACTCTCCAAATGATTTTGGGAGATACTGTCATACATTACAGTCCCTATTTCACAGGTAAGAAAAAAAGGAAGAGAGAGGTGTAACAGCATCCTCAGTACTCATACACAGCAAAACCGGGGGCAGCAATGGCTTCAGGACCCAGATGTGGATCTTAGAGCTGTGTAAGTCTTCACTTCTAGTCCCACACATGCCTGATCCTCACTATCGCAAACACTTATGATGAATCAGATGAATTTCCTACCTTCAGACGTGCYTGCAAAGGTCTCCTTTAGAGAATCAATCTAAAATAGAGATATAGATTAAAATCTAACATTTGAAATTATTTCTTCTCCCTATGGATTTATTTTCATTCAGTTTGAAAGAAAAAAAAAATTTAACTTTTTTAACTAGCACTTTTCATTAAAGTTACTTTGAAAGTAAAAATGTTATGTTATAGCCTCAGTTTATTATKAACCTAAGAACCTAAGTATCTAATAAGTTATAGGTGGAGTTTCCCAGTATTATGTCCTCAGCCACCTCACTTTTTTACCTATCTTTATCTTAATATTTATTTGCTAATGAATCTAAATATACAACGTAGGCTCCCCATCTTCTACCCTGATTTCCAAAACTCTATTTCCAAAGGAATTATCTCCTGTGTTGACAGCCCATCCGATTTCACATACAGTCTATCCCAAAATGAACCTTATCTTTTCCCAACATTACTCCCTATGGAGGCTAATGGTAATAGCAATTCAATCATTGTAGCCAGAAACCTATGAAGCAGGACTACCTTCTTCCTATCCCTCATTCAATCAATCAATCAATCAGTCATTCACAAAGCCTGTCAATTGTGGCTGAATATCTCAGAACTACCCTGTCCATTATTTTAATATGGGCCTTAATTATCTTTAATGTGAACTATTCCAACAGCCTCCTCACTGGTATACCTTGTTCTAATAATATTCTAATTGTTTTACCACAATGACAGAATGATGGTCCCAAATTACAAACTATGTCACAGCTTTGCTTAAAATAGTAATTTTAAAACTTTAATGGTTTGTCACTGCACAGAATACAAACTTGCAGACTTTTCAGTAACAAACATCTCTTTTATATTAAACATGCCATTTACTTTCACATCTATGTGGTTTCTTTTTTTTACATGATATCTTCCAAAATGCCATAAGAACTTTTAGCACTGAACTCCCATATGTTCTTTTAAAGTCTTCCCCTGATATATACCTCTAATCACTTGCTCAAATAATTAAGACAATTTTTGTCCTGTAGTATATTTGTTTACTTACCTGTTTCCAACAATGGATTATTATTTCCCATGTATACAAGAACCATATCTTTGTATGCCCAACTACACCTACTCCATTATTAACCACCATCCATTCATTCGTCCATGTCACACTTATTGAAATCCTACCATATAGGAGGTATGCAGACTTCAGAAGCTCTATTTAAACTATGGTTGACAGTAATTAATAATATGTGTCAAAATAGCTAGATGAAAGGAATCTGAATGTTACCAACACATAGAAAGGACACATGACTAAAGTGATGCATATGGATATAATTTGATCATGACACATTGTATACATGTATACACACTGTACCGCACAAATATGTAAAATTATTTGTGTCTAAAGATAATTAGTATGTTTATAGAACACAAAGGAATAACTGAGACAAATGGTATGGTAAAAAATCTTGTCTTCAAAAAGTCTGTAGTTCAACTGGAAAAGATAAAGATGAATAAATAAAAGATACGAAAAGATATACAAGCAATTCACTTAGTATTTTATGTATCTAAATAAGGAAAAGCAAATAAAAACACCATCATCACCTACAGAATAAATCATGTAGTAAATAACTACATCCCCTTGTGGTTACTGATAAAAAGAGATTTAAATATAAAGCTAAAGAGATACAAATATTTTCCTTGAACTATTTAAGCCTTAAACTAATATGAAGAATCGGAATTTCTAACGTGAAAGAAAACTTATGCTTTCAACCTTAGACAAAGTATCACTACAATGTATTCTCATTCAAATGACACATTTAAAATTGCTTAACTTAATATTAAAATAAATAATTTYCTTCAACATATTTATGGAAAAGGAAGACTCCACTTTCTTTGATTTTATTATATTTGGCAAATACTAAATGGACCTTCGTGTATCTGAGGAATTTGGACTATAACAGAAAAGAACAAGAACTTCTTCTGCAGTACCAAAAACATCAGTTCTAGACAAGAATCTGCTAAGTCCTGTGAATTCAGTAATGAAACCTGTTCTACTTGCAGCATACCTAACATTTGTAAAGTATATCCCTTCTACAAAGACCTAGCACATATAGCCTCAAACTTGCCAAAAAAAAAAAAAAAAAAAACTACATAATCGTTAACCTACTATTATTTCCACTTCTAGAAATTCCTATGTGCAGGGAAATAATTACATCTGCACAAAGATTCATGTATCAATGTTTTTGCTCCTGAACCAATTAAAAAATTAAAAACTTAAATGTTCTATGTTAAGGAAATTAAAAATGCTATTATATTACATAAAAGAATATAGTGTGCTATTTCATGTTTTAATATGGGCCTTAATTATCTTTATTAATATAACAAAGCAACTAGAATTATTTAAGAGAATAAATATATTTATAAAAATATATATAAATACATGCTGATAATGTATACTAATAAGTATACATTATAACAGTGCTATAACTGAGCAGGATTGTACTATTATTGTCTTCCATATTATTTTTATTTATTCTAGATTTCCTTTAATTAGTTTATAAAATTAGTATTAACATGATTAGCAGTATTTTTCAAAGCAAATTAAGTACTTAATAAACAATACACAGAAGGTGCCAAGAAAACTAATGAAGATGAAATATCTAAGTTTCTAGAAATTAACTATAACATTTAAAACTTAAATACAGCTGGACGCACCCGCCTATAATCCCAGCAGCTCAGGAGGCTGAGATAGGAGGATCTTGAGTTCAATGCCAGCCTAAGCAACTCAGCAAGGCACTTAGCAACTCAGTGAGACCCTGTCTTTAAATAAAAAATATTTTTTAAAAAGGACTGGAGATGTGGCTCAGTGGTTAAGCATCCCTAGATTTAATCAAAAAAAAAAAAAACACGAACCCACACTAAATGTAAACTTAATCTGCTTTAAAGAAATGGAAACATCACTATTACTTCCTTCAATGAACATACAATGTACCTACAGTTAGCTGCATCTCACTGGATTGATTTTCCTCAGTTCCCACTTCATACTCTGGAACAGTTGCAAGACCATATTCTCCAGACACAAATCTTTTGGCTTCATTCTGAGAACCCACTGTGTGCAGAAAGTTTCTGAATTATAACCCAATCAATATTTGGTTTTATAGAATACTGTTTGTACTGATTTTCATAAACAACTCTTGAAAGGTACTAAAAATGTAGATGCAAATGTTTCCTCTACAGCACCTTATAATGAATTATTATAATGATGACTCTCAGTTACCTTACGTTTTAATGGTGCTAGGGAGAGATGCTTGTGATGACACACTACTTTGGCCCCCAGAAGCCTATTCTATGCTGTTTCAGTAATCTGTGTTCATTTTTGTACCCATCAATTCCTACTGGGCTGTTACATTCAGCTGGGCTCTTCTAGGTCCCTTCATTACTGGTGACTTGAAAGTCAATGTATAATAAAAATTCAGACAAGAAGGTTTGTTACTAGAAAGATCCTGTAACACACCATTACTATGGACTGTAAGACACCACCATTATAAGACACTTCTTTTTAAACTGAACTGTGTTCAAGCTGAAAACACTCTCACCTGTAATTTTAAGTGTTTCTCTCTGTAATGCTCTGGTGACTGGTATTCGCTGGTACCAGTGTCCAACACCCTCTACTTCCCAAATAAGTTCGTGGTCTCCTGGATATTTTTCAAAGTATTGCTTGCAAGCTGAAAAAAATATTTAGAATTTTCTAGAAATCTCAAATATCAATTGTTTTGAAAAACAGAAGATCAAAGATAAGATTGCTAAACAGTGCTAGAATAACCCTGATATCAAAACATGACCAAAGCAACTCAAGAAAAGTATGAAACAGTCTCATATAAAGAGAAATCCTATAAAATCTCCAGAAAAATCCTATAAAATCTCAAAAGTTTTAACACACTGATGAATCGAAAACAACAATCAGCACATGTCAAAATGGTATCATTTATATAAAGTTTAAAAACACACTAAAGAGATCCAACATGGCAGCAGGGATGCAGATATCAAGTCTCTGACCTCTTCAGCTATGTGGGCACAGGGAGCCATAAATTGTTTAAATGCTGTTTGCTCAGGATCACTAGGCAATGCTGAGCTGACGTGGATCTGGGGCGAACAGTCTGGGCCCCTCAGAACACACACACCGAGCCTGGATCAGCTGCATTCAAGCTCCGGTTCGCCTGCTTCTTGTGACTCAGCACTAACAATCCCGCTGAAATAACTGGTCGGCCCTTCTGAACTTAGAGGTAAAAGCCAACGGAGCCTTCATAGGCAGTGGTCACAGGTTTGAAACAGGGATTGGGAGAGACAGTCAGGACCCACCTGTTGCATTGGTCACCCGGCAAAGGGAACGAATGGTCATCATTTGCATGGGATACCACCATGGCAGAGAACTGACATCACGGGCGATGGAGATAACTTCACTGAAACCAGCGCGACAGGTGTGTAATCCCCTAGCCATCTCTCTCCACACAGCGGGGAAACCTTAAKGGCCCCTCCCAGCTCTCCTATGAGCGCGATACCCAGACAGAGGGAATCAAGAGTGGCGCAGGACTCGCGGCGCGGAACTCCCGGCTACCGCTCCCACCAGTACTGACAACTGAGGTCTCTTGCACCAGCTACCGGGGGCGTGGCTACCGGAGGGCAAGCAAATTGGCTGGGGGTTCTCAGCCCCAAGCTCTACAAACCTAGGGTCTGAGGGAATGGCAAACAGGGAGAGTGTGCCCAGTCGTTCATGAAAACAGGGCTCCCGGGAGCAGCAGACCTGG